GTCAAAATAACGAAATATTGACGAATTAATCATATTTATTTGCGACCGACGCGCCATTCCGTTCTGTTTTTGCTACATGGGACTGGTAGAGGAAACTTTTACGGAACGGAACTAGAGAACGGAACGCTCATTATAGTAAGAAATCCGATCCGGCGTTCCGATCCGTGCTCAATGGGACGGCACCCTAACTCAATGGGTGTTTACGACAATTAAGGCCCTTGCAGAATGCCAGGCAACAGGCAATAGGAACAGAGAATAGAAATTCTGATTGATCAATTATTTCTATTCCTTGTTCCTATTGGCTATTGCCTGTTCCTATTACCTATTGCCTGCCATTGTGTAATGGCCCTTAGAATTAGAGTTAGTTTTACTAAGGCCGAAAATTATGATAGGCACGACCATCTAGTACTTTTATAATTTATGACAAATTCTTACTTCTAATGGCTCCTGCACACAAGACGCGATAATGCTTGCCGCGCGGCGGAAGTTCGCGCGACAGCCAATCAATATGTTGCTTTCCGTAATAACCTTCTAGTTCTTACGGAAAAACAACATATTGATTGGCTGTCGCGCGGATTTCTGCCGCGCGGCAAGCATTACCGCGTCCTGTGTGCAGGAGGCGTAACTCAATGCCTTACTATAGGAACAAGCTGGAGTAAGAAGTAAGGAACGCGTATTCGACATCAGGTAATAATTTCGTATAATCTCACGATTATAAATATATTTTTTTAGCGTGTGGTAACATTGTTTGTATTTTATTGTATTTTATTGTATTTTATTTTTATTGTATGTATATATTTGTAGGTTTTTGCGAAATTCAGTCAAAATCTACAAATATATACATACATTAAAAAATAATAAAATACAAACAATGTTACCACACGCTAAAAAAAAATATAGATATAATCGTGAGATTTTACGAAATTATTATCTTATGTCGAATGCGCGTTCTTTACTTCTTACTCCAGCTTGTTGCTATGGTAAGGCATTGAGTAAGGGCTATCGCACGAACATTGCCGTAGCTCCTTATGCCACCTTACGTGACAATCTTACGTTACGTGAGACGTAAGCTGAACGTACGGCAATGCACGAAAATTTTACGTTACGTTACGTTACGAAGGAACATAGAGATTCTGTGACAAAGGTAATTAAATCAGATTACTGAACAATAAGTAAAGAAAAAATAATAATTTATCTTTATAGCCATAATTAGAAATGTCTATATTGAGCACATATTAATTTTATTAAACTATTAAATGTATCTGTACAAAATTATAAACATTACCCTATAACCTCTTCCCAACACTATGTACAGAATATGTTTGACATATAAATATTGAAATAAAATTTTAGGTTTTCAAGTCAACAAATATGAAAACATCAAAGTCTATGAAGTTAAAATGTTTATTGTTGTCATTACTCTTAATTTATTATATGAGACTAAAACGGAGAAAAATACAAAAGATGGCAAAATAGAACATGGCTCGTGAGACCAATTAATCAACAGAGAAAACAGCAAGGAGAATGAAAATCTGTTTCAAGAATTAAAAACTGATAAAGACATGTTTGTCAAATATGCCAGGATGAATGTTCAACATTTTAACAAGTTATCAACCATGCTAAGACCTTATTTGGTAAAAGAATTAAGAAAGCTCGGTCTCTGGAACACAGGTTGTGACGATCCGGGAAATCGTCACGACAATTAAGAATATTATTTACAATATTAACAATTGAACACCGAACAACCGTGCGCGGAACTACCGCAAGGTCAACAAACAGCCTCGCTGTTTGTTACAAATAAGTATAAAAGCCGACACGAAAACGCGATCGGGAGAGATTGATCGAGAAGCTCCCCGGAGACACACAACCGATCAAAATCTCGCAACCTCCCAGAGATCCTAGACCGCTCCGTCGACCGAAGTGGATACGCGACGTCGACCTCCTGTCCCTCACGCCACGCCGCTAACACATAAGATCACGAACGCGTACAGAGCGTAAGATACCGGTGACGACGAGCGCCTTTAAACCAGCCAGATTAAAAGCCGGTGTAAACAATCGGCTTAAAGCCGCCGAGTCAACGAACTCCAAAGACGAACAACAGCATATCGGGAAACATTCCCGACCGCGTCCCGCCGGACGCTCGCGCACCTCGACGCTCGCAGCTGATCGCGCGACGACAACACCGGCTCCCGGCGAGAGCAAAAACGCGACCACGCGCCAACGGCGTAACTTCGCATGTAGATGATTGTAAATAACCTTGAGATTAGAATATAGTTCCACGTTATTATAACTTACACCACTGCTTTTCATTTAACGAACGAAACCTCGGACCGCACCGACTAAGACTATCTCGCACGTAAGGCCGTTACAGGTTAATAATAACATTAAGATAAATATAGTTTATTAGTAAAAAATTGTTTGATGCAACTACTTCTTAAATTTTTAGTTATATTTAGAAATTATTGTTAGAAAAAAATGTTTTACGAAATTATAAACTATATAGCAAAAATTGTGATACATTTTTCAGATATCTTGCAACAGGGAATTCAATAGTAATTATTGCATTTTCTTTTCGAGTTGGGTAGTCAACTGTTAGACAGTTAATGAAAGAAGTGTATCTAGTTATTGTTAATACATTACAGCCTCTATATTTAGCATGTCCAATTGAAGAACAGTGGAAGAATATTGCTGATGGATACTGGAACCGATGGAATATATCTAACTGCTTTGGAGCTATTGACGGGAAACACATAGTTTTGCGATGTCTTCCTAATTCTGGAAGCTTGTATTTTAATTATAAGAAACAATTCAGCATTGTTCTTATGGCAATATCTGATCATTTATATAGATTTAGTTTAGTTGATATAGGAGCCTATGTGTGAAAAAATAGTGACGGAGGCATTTTTGAATCGTCAACTATTGGAAAATATTTAAAAAATAATGGACTTAATTGCCCACTTCACGTCTTTATCTTCCCGGAAGTAATATCTCTATGCCTGGATTTTTGATGCTGCGTTTCCATTATGTACTCGTATAATGATCCATCAGCAATATTCTTCCACTGTTCTTCAATTGGACATGCTAAATATAGAGGCTGTAATGTATTAGCAATAATTAGACACACTTCTTTCATTAACTGTCTAACAGTTGACTGCCCAACTCGAAAAGAAAATGCAATACTTGCTGCTGAATTCCCTGTTGCAAGATATCTGAAAAATGTATCACAATTTTTGCTATATAGTTTATAATTTCGTGAAACATTTTTTTCTAACAATGATTTCTAAATATAACTAAAAATTTAAGTAGTTACATCAAACAATTTTTTACTAATAAACTATATTTACCTTAATATATTATTAACCTATGTTCCGAAGACAGAGCTTTCTTAGTTTTTTTTACCAAATAAGGTCTTAGCATGGTTGATAACTTGTTACAATGTTGAACATTCATCCTGATATTTTTAACAAATATATCTTCATCAGTTTTTAATTCTTGAAATAGATTTTCATTCTCCTTGCTGTTTTCTTTGTTGATTAATTCACGAATCAGATTCACGAATTTGACAACAGTTGCAAAGCAGCTTTCTCTGCTGAAGCCATTCATTGCTCATAGTAACCAACCGAGCTAAATGGCTGCGTTCGGAGAGACGCTATTTAGCGGTATGAGTGTGTTCTGTCCTTGTTTGTTCCTGAAAGTTGGACAAAGACGGAGGACGCTCATAGCGCTAAATAGCGTTTCTCCGAACGTAGCCATATGTTTTTATATATAAATATACATTGCCCATATCAATTGTACATTAAATAACTCCTAATTACATTAATTAAGTTTAGTCGTTAGTCGAATAATTTTTAATTACTGTCGCTTGTTTTAATCGTTAATTAAACAGTTTTTAATTGAATTCTTTCAAATCAATTGTTAATTGATTAATTTTTAATTAGATTTTCTGAAGTCAGTGGTTAATTAAAATATTTTTAATTGAATAGGCTTATATTAATCGTCAATTAATTAAATTAGAAATTATTGTAGGATGGTTGCCGAACGATGGTGGGCTAATCGTATTCTCGATTTCGATTAAAGTGCAGGAATAGGTCAAAGATAAACTTAACTGAGAAAATAGGAACGATATATTCAGCTCATTCAACAACTGCGCTTCGATCACACGACTGAACTCATTTCCTCCTCACTCCTTGAGCTTCTTCTCGCTACTCCCTTGTTTCATACTCTCTGTCGCGCATGCTCACGTATAACGACGCAATCCAACGCTGCTATGCGCAACCGTACGTTCATGAGACATTCAAACGGTGAATCTTACATTATTTACTCAAATCAATTATTACATTAAGGGGAATTTAAATGATATTTTTACAACTCTGCTCGGGAGTCAAAGTTTCTATCACTGCGCACACGTGGTGCACGCGGTGTCACAATTCATTTTCTACGACGACGTCCTTTCTTCCTTATTTGAACGCGCGAATTTAGCGAAGAGAGGAAATGGTATCGGAAAAACCGATTTGCCCGTATCGAAATTTTGGACCTATATTAAACCTTAATATTCTACAACGCAGTAGGAGCTACGTTAGTAGATATAATTCTAATGATATAATTTACTCCTACTCTAATGACGTCCAAAATTTGCCTTTTTACTTTTTTTAGCGTGAAAATAGTGTTGAATGGAATAGTGAGACCAAACGTTGAATGGAATAATGAGGATTAAAATTTCGACTCGTTTAGTTTAAGAGGAGTAAAACGATTTGAAAGCTTCAAAAAGAGATTTTTGGGTTTTTACGTAATCATTTAGTACAATTCTTTAAGAACATTTTGGCGCAAAAAAGAACGTCAATATTCGCAAAATTGAGTTCAAGAGAGCGAAAAATGTAAGGCACGTGATCATGTAGTGTAAGAAATGTAGATATTGTAGAATCAAAAGTAGTTGATATGTACGTTCCAATGTATCAAAATAAATGTTGAATGGAATAATAAGGCTGAAAATAACATCAAAGTTTCGACTCAGGTGATTGCGAAGACACTTTTATTTCTAACCACACACAGCGAATTTTGGCACAAAACTTCCTACCAATACTCATATAATTGTGGCTCTGCTCAAGATCTCTGTTCGATGCTCGATAATCTGTAAATACAAGAGCTCGGAGCTCGAAGGCTCCGATTTTCAAGGAAAAAGAAAAGAAACTAAAATATCGCTATTAGGCGCCATTTAGCACATAAAAATAATATATTGTCAGAATCATAATTGCGTGATTTCGCGTATATAATTCTATCGCCGAAGCTTCGGTCACCATTTCGCAACTATTTTCATGAATCAAGACATGTAGTTTATCGAAACCACGGAGTGTCTGTCCATGTAAGTTCTACGGTCACCTCCATTTATAATTTTCATTTTGCTTATTTGAATATTAAAGTTCATAACAATAATAGCACAGCTATATTTTTTACTTTAATTTCTTTAATACATTCTCGATAGTCGTCTTTTTAAAAATATATAAGCCAAAACTCGAAACACAACATAATAGCCGAGCAAAATGGCAACGTTGTACCAAAACGATGATTTAGTCAAGTCAAGCCATTCCATTATCGTACCTGGCGTCCGGAAATGGCAATAAATATCTGAGCATTGTAAATTCTCACGATCATTACCGTAGACGGATTGAACTACACCGACAAAGGCGTATCGCAGCATGCTCAGATAACTGATGTAGTACATGAAACTGGTCATATCCTTGAAGAAAGGTACAAGGCCGGCGAGAGCAAGCATTGAGCACACGAGAATGGATCCGACGAAGAATCCGTTGACAGGTTCGAAAATCGCGCCCAATCCTAAACCCAAACCTTCCGAAATGAAAAAAGATAAGTTAATGATGATCAGAAACATAAAGAAGCGAGAGAATTCAGGCGGTTGACTGGTCATGTAGTAGGTAATGGACGAGTACAAAAAGCCGTAGATTATTTGCAACGGTATTGTGCTCACTAATGTGGCCATATAATAAGTTCTCAACTGGTACCATTTGTTGAAATACTCCTTCCGCAGAATGTCAATATCTAAGGGAAACTTAATCACGTTCGTCATCAGGCCGACGAAACACGGATATAACATGCTCTGAAACAAATAGCAGCAGTTGCTGAATACCTTGTTGGCATCATCGCCGATGTGTTCATAAAACAGACCAGTCAGAATCGATACGAATAAGTGAGCGCTCAGAGAGATATACACCGTCTGGCGGTTACGATATGTTAACATTATGTAGCGCTGTAGCAACACCCAGAATCGCATCAGTTCCGTCGGCGGGCACGACAGTGCTATCATCTGATTGTTGTCGGATATGTTCTGGATCATGTCGTATGACGAGTTTGACGAACGTACTTCATCGTTCGACTCAGAAGACCACTTGCTCGCCGCGATCAGCTGTTCGTCGTAGTTACCGTACTCCTTGGACACCACTTCCAGCATGTAGTCCGCGGGGTTGTGATATTTTGGACACTGGAGACCTTGGCGGGCAAAGTAGTTGACCGTATCGCCAGGCGGCGAACGATACATACAATAGCCGTCCACCACTAAGTAGATAAGGTCGAACATCTCATAAAGCGCTGCGCTGGGTTGGTGTATGGCGCAGATAATCGTCCTGCCAGTTTTCGCCAGTTTCTTCAACACGGTTACGCACTGCACAGCCGCCGAAGAATCCAGACCGGTAGTTGGTTCGTCCAAGAATATGAGCGACGGATTATCAATCAGCTCCAAGGCGATGCTCAGCCTTTTCTTTTCACCACCGCTCAGCCGGTCAGTTCGAGTCTCCTTGATGTGCAATAACGATAACGTGCTCAATATATCGTTGATTAGTATCTGCCTGGACGTACGCGAGATACTCCGATCAATCTTCAGGTAACTTGCAATCATCATGATCTCGTTGATGGTGAAATAGTCATACAGATTGTTCGTCTGCTGAATATAGCGCAACTGTTTTTTGCAACTACGCTGACTCTGCTTGTTGCCTTGGTTGAGGTACTCCACCGTTCCTGTGTACGAGCCTTCTTGGAAGCCACTCAAGATGTTCAGCAACGTCGACTTGCCAGCACCAGACGGTCCTATGATAGCCGTCAGTTCGGTGGATCGGAAGATTCCGTCCAGGCCTTTGAGGATCTGTTTCTTCGGCCCACGATACCTGGTTCGGACCGCGTACGATAGATCCCGGAACATTACGTCAATCGTCTGATTGCACGATATTTTCGTAAGATTGAAGTTGCATTCCATTGTTCCACACTTTACGGTTAAAATAATTCTAAGTCGGATATTTGATCTGTCCGGTGGTAACTGTACTATCCTGTTGTAATTTAAGTTGACACGCAGCAGTTTATTGGCAGTTTTAGAACACTGGCACACAATAATACACGAGAGTAACTTTCATAAAATAAGAAAGAGTAATTACCAATTCTATTCTCTTGATTGCTCGGCAATTGACATGTACGAAAACTGCTTTGATGAGCACCAATTTATATCCACAATTTATTATTTAGTCACAATGTTGCGTTACGTCTCGTGTCGAATGGGCGTCTTGATCGTAAGTTGTCTGAAGAAATTTTACTACGTAGAAAGGATGCATTAGTTGGTCATCATTGGCTGACTTAACTCGAAGCGTTTCGACGATAAACAACAAAAAACGATGATCGAAAATGAAGGAGATAATGTATAGACGGAAGATCAAGCGTTCTCTCCTCTGGTGTAGCAGCAACTCCTCGCTTGAACGGTAATGCAACAAGAGTACACTACAAATTGCAGTGAGACAGGCACTTTATCAGTTCCCCAGTTTGCGCAGTGGTATTTGTATTATCAAAGAGTTACACGTTTATCGTTTAACTTCTTAAGATTAAATACGCATTTATCACAACGTGATATTTCCGCACTGTATTCCAAGAAGAACAAAAAATTATCTACATTATACTATCTATTTCATGAAGATAAGAATACATGAACGAAGCATATTGTCGCGGGAGTGAAGCCCAACAGGTGAGGGGAATAACTTTATGTATTGTATGTATTGTAATGGAGTTGATATACTAAGATGACGACGGTTGCTATTTTTATACATAGACAATAGATACAAAACTCTTCTACCAACATGGCCGCGTCGATGTAATCCTCTTGTTCTTTAGATTTCACAGCACCTCGTCTATAATCGCACTTTGCGCTCCGTCCACATATTCTTATTTCCATAATCTGTTTCGTAAGTATTTACATTCCTTGTTATATAATCTAAGTTGCCAACGCTTATATACAGGGTGTCCGGTAACTGATCAAGCAACCGCCGTGTACGGGTAGAACGGGGCAAAATATTCATAAAAGTTATATACTACTTTTAAATTTTCTCAATTTTTATTCCATGTAATTAATTAAAATGTATAAACGAATAAGCTCACGAAAAGCGGTAGGGCAAGCTCTGTGTGTAAAAGAAATGGCTTCCCTCTTAGCAGCGATGAGTAAACAGCTGATTTCGAGGTGGAGTAACGTATACGTATCGCTTGTTACTCCGCCTCGAAATCAGCTGTTTACTCATCGTCGGTAAGAGGTAAGTCATTTCTTTTACACACAGAGCCTGCCCTACCGCTTCTCGTGAGCTCATTCGTTCATACATTTTAATTAATTATGGAATGAATAATGAAAAAATTTCAAAATTGTATATAAATTTTATGATTATTTTGACCTGCTCTACCTGCACACGGCGGTTGCTCAATTAGTTACCGAACACTCTGTATATCTCGCCGTTATCGTCGTAGGTCAATTGAAGTCGTATCAATCGTAGTCGATTAAGCAGATGAGCAGTATTACTATGATAATAAGCATCAGGAATAGTTCAATAAAAGATAAAATTTAAATGTATTTATCAAAATTTATATTTCTTCCCCTTCAAAGTAATCCCTTCCCACTACAATGTATTTATGCTAACATTTTTTCCAATCCTCGATACATGCTTTAAAGTCGTTTTCGTGAAACTCCTTTAGGACTCGCAGCGAATTTTCTTTTATAATATTAGTTGACTCAAAACGATGACCACGAAGCGGAAATTGTAGTCGAGAAAACAGGAAAAAGTTAGACGGTGCTATATCACGAACTTGCAGAACCGTATTTTTTGAATTTTTGGCCAAAAATTCACGAACAACAAGAGCATTTTGAAACCAATTTTTGAACGTTTTGAAAACAACTCGAGAAGCGACGCGTCGGAAGCCTAAATGATCTTTTAAAATTGCTTGACAAGATCCATATGATACTGGAACATGTTCAATAATATCCCTAATTGTTAAATGACGATCACTGAGTACGAAATCTTTGACCTGAGCGACGTATTGTTCATCAATTGAAGTGGGTGATTTACCAAAACGTGATTTATCTTCAACGCGTTCTCTGCTTTCTTCGAACATCTTGTTCAAGGATATAATCAAACGCAGCGCGACGCCGAGAACGTAACGAACAAAACAACGCGACCGTGAAGGCTTATCTGGAATTTCTAGGTCGATTGGTCTTCCGAGTCTAATATCTCAAGCACGAAAACTATAATTGAAAATCTGATAAAAGTTTTCTTATATAATTACCGCGCGCGTAATTTGCACCAAGTTTGGTTAAGATTGGTACAGACAATACGGAGATCTCAAAATCTCGCTCGTTAAAAAGTTCATATTCGCACAAATTCTCATATTTTTCAGATTCAGATTCACACATAAGCACGCACTCAAGCGAATAATTTTGTCCATCAAGCCGCGTTTGCATTGCCAAGAAATCCAGCTTCAAATCACACATCTACGCATGCACATAAGTGCGCGTTTGTCCGTTAGATTTTGTTTGTAATATACAGGATGTCCCGAATCCCTATGATGACCCTTGATGAAAACATAGAACAAATTGAGGTGAGCAAGAAAGTTCTGTGCCAATTTGCGATATTCGCATTAGTTTTTGAGAAATTAATTATTTTGTCTCAACAAATCAGCGTACAGAAAGCAGCAGCGGAAAGAAAGATGCTTTCGGCCGACGTGCGACCGTGACACTCGCGAATCGTTTCTCGCCGCGTCACTCCGTCCATAGCTACGAGCATAGTGAAGCGTGATACACTGATGCATATGCATGATAAATCCGTGTGCTGAATCGAAGCGTGTCGCCGCTTCGGTTGCATACATGTATGTAGAGGTGACACAGCGAGCGGCGTGTAACATAAAATCATGTGCCCAAGGATAATTATCTTTCGTTTTCTCGACGTCGTGATAGAAAAGTGACAGCGCGCGATAGAAGATTATTTTATAAGACAGCTCACATTAAAACCGTAATATGTTCCTGTGATTGAAAAAAAAAAACAGAAAGAAAGAAAGCGATAGAAACTGGAAGGGTTTGCAGAGAATTTAACTCTAGTGTAATTTTTTCTCTAGCGTAATTTTTTCTCTATCGTATACTTTGTATCGAATCCGCAAGAAATGAAATCGTTTTCCATCGTGCTCTGTTAGGTGAGTATTAAATCGTTACTACGATTACTGGAAATCTGTTATAATTTGTGACATATTAACGTTACCTATACATTTTTTTAAATCGCTTAATTTGACATACTCTGCTGAATGGAATGAATTCTTTTCACAAATCTTACGATAACCATCGTAAAATGTCGATGTTTTCTTGCAAATAAAATAATAAAAAGGAGAGGTGCACGACTTTCTTCCACGAAGTTGTACGACATATGGAAATTATCTATGTATTTTTATTCTGTTACCGTCAGAAGAGAATAAATTCAAAATCTGAGTAATGTTCCTTAAAAAAAGTACAGAATTCACTCTTAAAAAAAAATTAAATACCATAATATTTCGCAGTTATGCCCATTTGAAATTGTGCTAAATTTTGACATAAACGTATACGGTTACCTATAGAGTAAAGGTACTAAAAGTGACATACCACTTTGTTTTTGGAGGTTATGTCTTAATGTAGAACTCAAAATATAAATGTAAATATATATATATGTAGTTGGAAGTACTCTCTATCAGATAATATCACATTTTTACTGAAATTGTTTCTAGACTTAAAACCAAAAATGTTTTTGTAAAATGCACGAAAATGGAGTTCAAAAAAAATGGATGCCGAAAGCGACATGCCTATTGGAAGTTATATAACATCCCAGACAGCACAAGAACTTCTGAGAACGATCCAGGGATATTCTGAGGATATTGGGACGTTCTCAGAACGTATTTAGGACGTTCCCTGGATATCTGTACTGTTAGAGATGTTGCATATATGATAATATTTGATAATAAATAGTTCGTTAATATGTTTAATGGTTGAATAATATTCATTTTATTTAAAAGCAATATTTATGTTAGTGTTCACTGATGTATATAATTATAAATAATTATTGAAAATGATTTACATTTACATTATTGCAGCAGGTAAGTTCATATACAATACATATGTCACTTCACAATGTGAGGTAGAATCAAGTTATGTTAGTGACTGACTATCGTAGCTATCGCATACTATAGGTATGTCACTTTGAAACACATTCTCATAAAATTTTTCAAGTTACACAGTAAAAAGGTGATAAAGATTAAAATATTCAAAAAATATTTGTACAAAAGCTAAATGCATCTAGAAGAACTTAATGTTGAACAAAAAGATAATTATCGATGTTTAGTCTACGTAATTCGCCAATAAAAATCATAGAAATAAAACTTGCGAATTTGTAAAACTCAATATTTGCTAATTTAACATATAAAAGAACAAGAAATATACCAAGTATGACTTTTTCATGACTTTACTGGTAAAACGAATTACGCTTATAATAGTTTCAATAAAATACAACATTTCATATATGAAATGTAGAGTTGTGTCGCTTTTGACCACTTTCCTCTACGATAATATTGTTGACGAATGTACTTAGCCAAGCGTGTTACGCTTTTTGTAAGAAGTAGATAAAAAACACCCATTCTTGGCGTAACCACTTGACGATAGGTTATGATGCACGCATTCTATCGTAATTATACATACAAGTCAAATATCGTTCGTACACAATCGAGAACGATAGGTTTCCTTCATACAATAAAGAACTTTCCTCCCATTGTTAATACATCATTTGTTATTATCCTAACAACACAATTGTCCAGGAGATGTTCAGAGTACGTCCTGGGGACTTTTCTACAACCTCAGGATATCTCTGAGACGTCCCCAGGAGATCTTGTGCTGTATGGATATTATCTCGTTTTTCTCTATTATACTAAGTTTTCTCCACAATGAGTACATACTTTTTTTACTATTTTTCGTTAAGATTAAAGCAAGGTTGTGAACAAGGGGTATCTATCCTCGTCTCACTACCGGCGAGCTGACAATCGCAACGGCAGGCACACAGCAGTGATAGAAACTTTGGTCCGCGAGTAACACATATCAGCACCGGATGTGATACGCAATATACTCACGCGATTGTGCCCGTGAGGTTAATGGATATGATCAAGGAAGTGGAGTGTATTCCCTCTCGTGCTGATGCGTGCTACTCGCGTATCAAAGTTTCTATTATTATATAGAAGTAAAAAACACAAACGTCGGGCTTATCCGGATTTTCAAGTTGATTTGTTCTCCGAGTAAAAAATGTAAAACTTCAGAACATGATAAAAAATCTGATGACAGTTTTTTAGAAGAGTAAAGGCACCAAAAGCGACATACCACTTTGTTTTTGGACGTTATGTCTTAATATAAAGCTTAATATAAAGCAAAATATAAATGTATATATATATATATATATATATATATATATATATATATATATGCAGTTGGAAATACCTCCTATCAGATAATATCACGTTTTTATTGAAATTGTTTCTAGATTAAAAAAAAAAATGTTTTCGTAAAACGCACGAAAATGGAGTTCAAAGAAAATAGGTGTCAAAAGCGACAATTATCTATTGAAATTTATGTAACATATATGATAATATTTGATAATAAATAGTTCATTAATGTGTTTAATGGTTGAATAATATTTATTTATTCAAAATATAATGTTACAAAAGGAAAATATAATTAAATAAATACATATCTTTTTCCATCTTTTTCATTTTCTTATATATTTTACATATGTTATATTTTTAAACTAAATAAAGTTAGACTTTAAAATAAACAAATGTCACGTCACAATGGGAGGTTATTATTCAAGTTATGTTAGTCACAGAGTATCGCACCTATCGCATACTGTAAGTATGTTATTTTAAGAGATTCTCATAAAATTTTTCAAGTTATACAGTAAATAAATGTATGTATATTCAAAAAATATTTTTACAAAAGCCTAATGCATGTAAAAGAACTTAATATTGAACAAAATGATAATTATCGCTATTTAGTTTACGTAATTCGTCAATAAAAATCATAGAAGTAAAATTTGCGAATTTCTAAAATTCGATATTTGTTAATTTAGCATATAAAGCTATAAGAAATATATCAAGTATGCATTTTTTATGACTTAACTGATAAAACGGATTATGTTTATATTAGTTTTGATAAAATACAATATATAATATATGAAATATAGAGGTATGTCGCTTTAAGAGGCCTTTGTCGCTTTTGGCTACTTTCCTCTACAATGTCTATTACATACGTAATTTGCAACAAGTCCGCCAAAAAATTTATGCAAGCAATAAAATGTCAAAATTTTTTTTGCAAAAAGTTTTTCTTTCTTCATCCAAAGGTGTTACATTCGGTATAGTTACACGTACACACGCAAGTATGACTTTGTATGGTACTGAAATGTTATAAAATGAGCCGTGAAATGAAGCCTGCCTACGCGAGAAAACGTGTGGTTTAATAGCTGATCAAACGAGTAAACTACATTTCCACGTAATATATATATATATATATATATATATATATATATATATATATATATATAGGGTGTCCCGTATCACCTTCACAATCTCTCGTGAGGACATAAAGCGAATTGAGATGAATACAAAAGTCCTATACCGTTTTGCGATATTCTCAATAATAATCGAAATATTAATTAAAAAATTGGTGAATGATAATGCACGATATGGTAGATAAACTGCAATTGGGCTGTCCACCGTTGTATACTTATACATTAAGTCGAACTGAACGAAAAAGTCCTCTACCAATTTGCAAAGAACAACATAGATTTTAGATATTGTTCAATAATTAATTATATTATTTTTAATTACTGTCGCTTGTTTTAATCGATAATTAAACAGTTTTTAGTTGAATTATTTCAAATCAATTGCCAACTGATTAATTTTTAATTCGATTTTAGTCAGTAGTTAATTAAAATATTTTTAATTAAATAGGCTTATATTCATCGTCAATTAATTAAATTAGAAATTATTTAATACAATTATTAAATTGAAGTGAATTTAATTGATATTTTTACAACTCTGCTCGAGAGTCAAAGTTTCTATCACTGCGCGCACGTAGCGTTTGTGATGTCACAAATCGTTTTCTACGATGGCATCCTTTCTTTCTTTATTTGAACGCGCGGATTTAGCGAAGAAAGGAAATGGAGTCGGAAAAACTAATTTGCCCGTATTGATATTTTGATTCTATATTAAACCTTGAATTCTACAATATAGTAGGAGCTGAATTAGTAGATATAATTCTAATGATATAATTTACTCCTACTCTAATGATGTCTGAAATTTCTCTTTTCACTTTTTTTTAGCGTGAAAATAGTTAAATGGAATAGTGAGGCTAAAAGTTGAATGGAATAGTAAGGATTAAAATTTCGACTCGTTTAGTTTAAGAAGAGTAAAACGATTTGAAAGCTTCAAAAAGAGTTTTTTGGGTTTTCACGTAATCATTTAGTACAATTCCTTAAGAACATTTTAGCGCAAAAAGAATGTCGGTATTCGCAAAATTGAGTTCAGGAGAGCGAAAAATGTAAGGCATGTGATCATGTAGTGTAAGAAATGTAGATATTGTAGAATCAAAAGTAGTTAATATGTAGGTTTCAATGTATCAAAATAAATGTTGAATGGAATAATAAGGCTGAAAATAAGATCAAAATTTCGACTCAGGTGATTGCGAAGACACTTTTATTTCTAACCGTACACATAAAATTTCTGGCTCAAAACTTCCTACCACTTTCATAATTGTGGTTCTGCTCAAGATCTCTGTTCGATGCTCGATAATCTGTAAATACACTCGAAGGTTCTGATTTTCAAGGGAAAAGAAAAGATATTAAATATCGCTATTAGGCACTATTGAGCTCATGAAAATAATATATTGTCAGAACCATATTTAAATTGCGCGATTTCGCATATTTAATTCGATCGCCGAAGCTTCGGTCACCATTTCGCAACTCTTTCCATGAATCAAGACAACATGTAGTTTATCGAAACCACGGAGTGTCTGCCCATGTAAGTTCTACGGTTACCTCCATTTATAATTTTCATTTCGCTCATTTGAATATCAAAGTTCATAACAATAATAGCACAGCTATATTTTTCACCTTAATTTCTTTAATACATTCTCGATAGTCGTCTTTTTAATAATATATAAGCCAAAACTCGAAACACAACATAACAGCCGAACAAAATGGCAACGTCGTACCAAAACGATGATTTAGTCATGTCAAGCGATTCCAGTATCGTACCTGGCGTCCGGAAATGGCAATAAACATCTGAGCATCGTAAATTCTCACGACCATTACCGTAGACGGATTGAACTGCACCGTCGAAGGCGTATCGCAGTATGCTCAGGTAACTGATGTAATACATGAAACAGGTCATATCTTTAAAGAAGACTATAAGACCGGCGAGAGAGCTCATTGAACATGTGAGAAAGCATCCGACGAAGAGTCCGTTGACAAGTTCGAAAGTCGCGCCCAATCCTAAGCCGAAACCTTCCCAAATGAAGAAAGATAAGATAATGATAATCAGATACATAAAGAAGCGAGAGAATTCAGGCGGTTGACTGGTCATGTAGTAGGTAATGAACGAGTACAATAAGCCGTAGATTATCTGCAACGGTATTGTGCTCACTAATATGGCCATATAATAAGTTCTCAACTGGTACCATTTGTTGAAGTACTCCTTCCGCAGAATGTCAATCTCTAAGGGAAACTTAACCACGTTCATCAGGCCGATGAAACACGGATATAAAACGCTCTGCAACAAATAGCAGCAGTTGCTGAATACCTTGTTGGCATCATCGCCGCTGTGTTCATACAACAGACCACTTAAAATCGATATGAATAAGTGAGCGCTCAGAGAGATATACATCGTCTGGCGGTTACGATATGTTAACATTATGTAGCGCTGTAGCAACACCCAGAATCGCATCAGTTCCGTCGGCGGGCACGCCAATGCTATCATCTGATGGTTGTTGGATATCTTCTGGATCATGTTGTATGACGAGTTTGACGAACGTACCTCATCGTCCGTCTCAGAAGAGCACTTGCTTGCCGCGATCAACTGTTCGTCGTAGTTACCGTATTCCTTGGACACCACTTCCAGCATGTAGTCCGCGGGGTTGTGATATTTTGGACACTGGAAACCTTGACGGGCAAAGTACTTGACCGTATCGCCGGGCGGCGAATGATACATACAATAGCCGTCCACCACTAAGTAAATATAATCGAACATCTCATAAAGCGCTGCGCTGGGTTGGTGTATGGCGCAGATAATCGTCCTGCCAGTTTTCGCCAGTTTCTTCAACACGGTTACGCACTGCACAGCCGCCGAAGAATCCAGACCGGTAGTTGGTTCGTCCAAGAATATGAGCGACGGATTATCAATCAGCTCCAAGGCGATGCTCAGCCTTTTCTTTTCACCACCGCTCAGCCGGTCAGTTCGAGTCTCCTTGATGTGCAATAACGATAACGTGCTCAATATATCGTTGATTAGTATCTGCCTGGACGTACGCGAGATACTCCGATCAATCTTCAGGTAACTTGCAATCATCATGATCTCGTTGATGGTGAAATAGTCATACAGATTGTTCGTCTGCTGAATATAGCGCAACTGTTTTTTGCAACTACGCTGACTCTGCTTGTTGCCTTGGTTGAGGTACTCCACCGTTCCTGTGTACGAGCCTTCTTGGAAGCCACTCAAGATGTTCAGCAACGTCGACTTGCCAGCACCAGACGGTCCTATGATAGCCGTCAGTTCGGTGGATCGGAAGATTCCGTCCAGGCCTTTGAGGATCTGTTTCTTCGGCCCACGATACCTGGTTCGGACCGCGTACGATAGATCCCGGAACATTACGTCAATCGTCTGATTGCACGATATTTTCGTAAGATTGAAGTTGCACTCCATTGTTCCACACTTTACGGTTAAAATAATTCTAAGTCGGATATTTGATCTGTCCGGTGGTAACTGTACTATCCTGTTGTAATTTAAGTTGACACGCAGCAGTTTATTAGCAGTTTTAGAACACTGGCATGCAATAATACACGAGAGTAACTTTCATAATATAAGAAAGAATAATTACCAATTCTAATCTCTTGACTGTTCGGCAATTGACACGTACGAAAATTGCTTTGATGAGCACCAATTTATATCCACAATTTATTATTTAGTCACAAAGTTGCGTTACGACTCGTGTCGAATGGGCGTCTTGATCGCAAGTTGTCTGAAGAAATTTCACTGCGTAGAGAGGATGCATTAGTTGGTCGCCATTGGCTGACTGGACTCGAAGCGTTTCGACGATAGACAGCGAAAACGATGATGGAAAACGAAGTAGATAATATATAGACGGGAGATCAAGCGTTCTCTCCTCTGGTGTAGCAACAACTCGTCAAACGCTAATGCCACAAAAGTAATCTCGAAATTGCAGTGAGGCACTTCTTTTTCAGTTTCCGTTGCGCAGTCGTATTTGTATTATCAAATAATTACATGTTTATCGTTTAACTTCTTAGGATTAAATACTTATTTATGCATTGTATTCCAAGAAGAACGGGAAAATTGTCTACATTATACTACCTGTTTCTTGATCATAAATATACATGAATGCAGCATATAGTCGCGGGAGTGAAGCCCAAGAGGCGAGAGGAATGATTGTATGTATTGTAATGGAGTTGATACACCTAGATGGCGACGGTTGCTGTTTTTATATATACGCAATAGATACAAAACTCGTCTACCAACATGGCCGCGACAATATAATCCTTGGCCTTTAGGTTTCACAGCACCTCGTCTATAATCGCACTTCACGCTCCGTCCATGTATTCTTACGTCTATAACCTGTTTCGTAATTATGTATAGTCCTTGCTACATGATCTAAATTGAAGATGCACATATACGCTTATATACAGCTATATATATCTCGCCATTACCGTCGTAGACCAAGTGAAGTATCAATTGTCGTGTCAATCGTAGACGGTTAAGCAGATGATGTACTACTATGATAAAAAGCATCAGGAATAGTTCAATAAAATGCAAAATTTAAATGTATTTATCAAAATATATTTTGTCCCCTTTCCACTACAATGTATTTATGCTAACGTTTTTTCAATCCTCGAAACATGCTTTAAAGTCGTTTCCGTGAAATCCCTTTAGGACTCGTAGCGAATTTTCTTTTATAATATCAGTCGACTCAAACCGGTGACCACGAAGCGGAAATTTTAGTCGAGAAAGCAGGAAAAAGTTAGACGGTGCTATATTAGGAGCTTGTAGAACCATATTTTTTTAATTTTTTGCCAAAAATTTACGAACAAGAGCATTGTTTGAACGTTTTCGGAATAACCCGAGAAGCGACGCGTCGTAAGCTTAAATGATCTTTTAAAATTGCTTGACAAGATCCATATGATATTAGAACATGTTCAATAATGTTCCTAATTGTTAAAAGACGATCACTGAACACGAAATCTTGGATCTGACCGACGTGTTGCTCATCAATTGAAGTGGATGATCTACCAAAACGTGATTTATCTTCGACGCGTTCTTTGCTTTCTTTGAACATTTTGTTCAAGGATATAATCAAACGCCGCCGTCGCGGCGCGACGCTGAGTACGTGTCGAACAACGCGTCCGTGAAAAATTATCTGGAATTTCTAGGTCGATTGGTCTTCCAAATCAAATATCTCAAGCACGAAAACTATAATTGAAAATCTGATAAAAGTTTCCTTATATAATGTTTAGCGCGCGCGTAATTTGCACCAAGTTTGATTAAGATTGGTACAGGCAATACGGAGATCTCAAAATCTCGCTCGTTAAAAAGTCCTTTTATTTTCGCGCAGATTCTCATATTTTTCAGATTCAAATTCACACATAGGCACGCACTCAAGCGAATAATTTTGTCCATCAAGCCGCGTTTACATCGCCAAGCGATCCAGCTACAGATTATACATATACGCACGCAATAAAATAATGCGCGTTTGTCCGTTAGATGACGTTTGCAATATACAGGGTGTCCCGAACCTCTATGATGACCCTTGGTGAGAACGTAGAACGGATTGAGGTGAGCAAGAAAGTTCTGTGCCATTTTGCGATATTCGCAATAGTTTTTGAGAAATTAATTATTTTATCTCAACAAATCAGCGTACAGAAAGCAGCAGCGGAAAGAAAGATACCTTCGGCCCACGTGCGACCGTGACACTCGCGAATCGCGTCTCGCCGCGTATTTCTGTCCATAGCTACGAACATAGCGAGACGTGATACACTGATGCATATGCATGACATATCCGTGTGCCGAATCGACGCCGAATCGAAGCGTGTCGCCGCTTCGGCTACATATTTACATGCATGTAAAGGTGACACAGCGAGCGGCGTGTAATACAAAGTCGTGTGCTCAAAAGTAATTATTAGGTGGTAAACTTAGCTCCTACGGTTTTTTTGTTTAAAAAACTCATTTATTTCGACATCAAAAGCAAAAAATACATTAATCGAAGTATTTTCCCTCGCTAGCTATACATTTTTCCCATCTTTCGGGCAACGCGTAGATTCCGCGACGATAGAACGATTGGTCTTTTGATGCAATCCATTCGTCGATCCATTTTCGCACATCCTCGTAATTTCTGAAGTGTGTATCCACCAAGCCGTGCTGCATCGACCGGAACA